TTATCACATTAAGAATTAAGACATGTAAACATTGTTATTTTTCTAATCTTTCCTTGAAAAGTGGAGCGCTAAAATAATTTGCATTTATCCTTTTTTATTAAGACTCGTGTACAGAGCCTCGATTTGTACTATGGTTTAATTAATTTTGGTTAAAACTGTGGTTTAAACTGAGGTCTAATTATCTCTACTAATCTGACTTATTTCCTATAATCAATGACAAAATAAGAGTAAATAAAATAACCTCATAGTTCCATAGTTTATATTTAACCAGCTGTTAGTTAAAACAAATTATGTGGCTCTAAAACAAATCGAAGATTACAAAGATTGCTTAAAAAAATATTTTGAACATCCTAGTATTTTACTATGTATATTTAATTAATCTCTCATCCTCTTACAGAAGAATTGATCGTATCAATGATTATCATTACACATAGTATAAATAAGTCAACGCTAAGTATGTCTTTACATTTTTATCCAAATGCTGAATTTGTGACACAAAAGCTGAATGTTTACAGCTGTTATATTAAGCAAATTATTTTATGCCGAAAGCTAGTTTAGAATCTTAGCGTCGGCTGCTAGACTTTTTAAAAATTAAAACTTAATTTCTAAAAAACTGGGACCCAAAACTAAAATTATGGCTTCGACATTCCCTAGTTCTTAAAATTATCTTTCTTTCAACACAAAAATCATGTAAATCCGTCGAGTGGTTGATTCAGAATCGTGAAATAAAAAAACACTGTTTCGTTTTAATATTATAGATAACATAATTTAATCCAGTTCAAGCAAATAAAAACACAACAAAAATATCCCTGCCGCAGCAAAACTGCAGACTAAGCGAACTTCCATTTACCTGGCTGGATTTCCACAAAAATATTCAAGAAATAAACTAGCTTTAGTTTTCAATTATATCATTAGATGGGGACGCCACTATAATGTGCGTATTTTAGTGAGTACTTAGGTTTGCTCTACGGTAATACCTTATTCCCTATATGGGAAATTCGCTAAAAGGTTCTTCTATGTAATCCAGCTTTAAATCATGACAATCATAAACAAAATTTTTATCATGATGGTTTAGTTTGACGAATCATATTTGATGGAAATTTGTAGTAGTAAGATGTGTCGCTAAATCAAATAATTATATTTTACTAACATTATGCTTTAAATATGTAATATAGTTCTCCCTGAGTGGTTGACTTGAAACCCAGAAAGGACCTTGTTGTCCTTAGTTTGCTAAATTGAAGAATTTTATGTTTGAAGAATTTCCGTAGAAGGGCCGTTCTCAATACTGAATTAGTATTTAATGCTCCCACCACCACCCTGTTCCAAAGTATGTTCAATCCATCAACCAAAAACCACTATAACTCTATAACCAAAATTACTATATACTCAAGATATCATTATTTAACCTTAAGTATCATCAACATCCCATCATCACGATCAACTCCAATATAAAAGTTAAACAATATCTCACGACGAGGTTCGTCGACCCGAGATGAGAAAATTCCCAAAACACACATTGTCCAATCACGCCATACGCCACATATTAAACACCGATAGAATTAGATCAATTCTGGCGCGGCGGCACGAGCGAACCATCGGACCGTGCGATCGCAGACGGGAGGAAATTGAGACATCATCTGAGTGTCGGTGGAGGCGATCAAACAACAGGGTTCGGCTTATAACAATGTTTGCTCAGCGGTGAATTACCGAAGATATTGGGGCACCTGATCGGTCTATACTACCTGGCTAACGGTAAGGAGGGAACATTTTGAGTTTGGAGGTAGGAGCGAAATAGGTCTGTAATTAGTTCGATTGGCTTGTGTGCCTTTTGAATATTTTCATGTAGTATTTCTGGTATGGTTTTAGGTTTATAAAAATCCCTCTTCAACGTAGGGTGTTTTTCTACATTTTACAAAAGTAATTTTATTTCAAACAGGTAATTTTGTCTAAATATATGTTTAAATATGGTTACTTTATCTGTTTGACAAGATGAATTAAGACAACCTTTGTTAAGATTCACAGTTAAAGTTTAAACAACGATAAACTATAACTAATAACAGAAAATAATATTACCGGGGAGAATAGCGTTACATGAACATCTTTGAGAAACGGCGAAATTAAGCATACAAGAACTAAGTGAACCTAACCAATAGCACGCTAAATCAGAACTGTTTTTGACAATTATTAAAATCGAAAGTGATTGTACTTGTGATAAGACTTGAGAGTACTTGTGAGTTGGAATATGATTTAAAATTTTATAAATTATATCATGCACAACATTAGTCTTAGTTTTAATAAAATAATGTTTTTACTTGGATGAACCCCTTTGGTGCTCCTTTTTCCTTTCAAAACTTCTCCACGTCTCTTAAAGTTGTGAGACCAACACAATTTAAAACCTGTGGAAAGTGATTTCAAGAAAGATCCAAGATACTTTTTAAACCCTACCTCGAATTGACGCCACTAAAAGCCCTTTCATCATTGTTTTAACACTAGAGTGGGCCCCGCTAACCGGTCGTGGCAAGTACAAGCATTCAATCAGTTTGTCACGCGCGAGCGGACACGGTGGACCTAGCCAGCCGACCGTAACCTCTTCAATTACTTTCAATAAGTGAGTACCGAGACGGTAATTGAGTAATTGTGCTTCTGCAAATAAAGGTCCTTCGTTGGCAGATTATTGGCACACGCCGAGGTGTTAAACCAGTTAGTAGGTAATTGAACTGGTTCGTGGTGTTTGAACAGAGCTTCACAAATTGGCCACTTGTTTAGTTTAATACGCGCGTTTAGAACTGGTTTTTACTGTACTTATCCTCGCACGTGACAGAATGTGGGATATCAAATTGTTGGGATGGTTGGGTAAGAGTGTAAGTGATGTTAGTTTTGTTTGTTAGAGGACGTCTTTATAGCAAGTGGATCGCAAAAATAGTAGTAGAATGCTACATGTTACCGAATGCGACAGGCACTCCTACTGTCATTACGTAAAAACCCACAACTGTATAGTAGAAAGTATGGCAATTAAATGAAGGTAGTATGCAAATAAGATGCAATCAAGGATTTCAAAAGCCTAAGGTGTAATAATGGTATAGTAGGAACAAAGTGCAGTAAGGGTTGCACAGGGAAGGTGCTATAAAGGTCATGTATGACGAAGGTGCAGTAAGGGTTGTACAGGACGAAGGTGCTATAAAGGCTATATATGATGAAGGTGCAGTAAGGGTTGTAAAGGACGAAGGTGCTATTATAAAGGTCATGTATGACGAAGGTGCAGTAAGGGTTGTACAGGACGAAGGTGCTATATAGGTTGTGTATGCCAAAGGTGCAGTAAGGGTTGTACAGAACGAAGGTGCTATAAAGGTCATGTATGACGGAGGTGCAGTAAGGGTTGTAAAAGACGAAGGTGCTATAAAGGTCATGTATGATGGAGGTGCAGTAAGGGTTGTACAGGACGAAGGTGCTATATAGGTTGGGTTGTGTATGACGAAGGTGCAGTAAGGGTTGTACAGGACGAGGTGCTATAAAGGTCATGTATGACGAAGGTACAGTAAGAGTTGTACAGGTCGAAGGTGCTATAAAAGCTGTGCAGGACGAAGGTGCAAAAAGGTTTGTTTGCACGAAGATGCTGATGGCGTTTTACAGGGGCGTAATAAAGAATTATCCAGGACAAAGTTGCAGTAATTGTTGTACAAGATGGTTTGTAAGGCTTGTAAAGCACGAAGGTACAGTAAGGGTTGTACGATGTGAAGGTGTAATAAGTGATGTACAGGGTGAAGATGCTGTAAGGGCTGTTCCGGGGGCGGGTACGGCAACAGTAGAGGCGCCTTCTCTCACCCCTCACTGCTGATCTGATCAAATCGATCGTCACCCCGTGATTACAGGGCTGTAATGTGTTTGTATTGGCCAGACATCCGCTCCTCCCTCACCCGCTTCCGCCCAAGGTTATTCCCTAATCACCCCCGTAACTGTAGCATTTGTTTAAAGCTACTTCCTGAAAGTTATAAGGTTGACATTTTTATCTAACTTTTAATTTAAATGCATCACGGTTGTTTCCTTTGAGTAAATTCAAAAGCAAGAGACTCTAAATTTAAGGCTATAGTATTGTGTTATGGAAAGTTGCACTATGGTGTCAGCCAAGGTTTAGTTAAAATGTGTTTGCTTTGATAATTTTGTAAAATCCTACTGTTATACTTAAACAGAATAGGCCATTGCTTCATTGAAATGTAACTAATTCAACTCAAGGCCAAGTTTAATTTAACAAGAACTAAATCATCGACTCAACCCTCTGGTGAGTTAGGAAAACACGAAATCAATACGAAAAAGTCTTACACCAAAACGCGTTTAATCATTTTCACAAGTCTATTCTGAGTTCATGAGAAACTACTGAAAAACTGTGAATTCATCCGTAAATTCACCCTTATAGTATTAGCTAGTAAACGCGCTCAAGCATGACCTGGTGCACGCGCCTTTACGCCGCCGACAACAACAAATGTCGAGTCACGGGGAGCTCGGGGGTGTTGGTTAGCTTGGGTAGGTCAAGGTTGAGGGAGCATCACCATATGTTGCTAGCCACGCTTCTTGTGTCTACCTCTGCATAATTGATCCTCCGGGCCTGATAATCAAAGAGGAATTAATATAAAAGAAACACCCCATCTTGTTGAACAAAGGGGCTTTCGTGGTTTCATTGGAAGATGACAAAGTCTGTCTTATTAGGTCAATGTGTCAAGTTTAATGGATGTTCAAGATTGAAAACTATGTGTTTGAGTGGTAACGGGAATATGTTCATGTGTGTGGCCATTTAATAATTGTATATACACTAATATTTTCGAATGGAGTTAGAAAAAAATTTTGTTAAAAGAAATTGGGACCGATTGAGAAACATTTCAAACAATATCAGTTTAATATGAAGAATTTAGGTAGGAAAGAGGTTGCACATAATAACAAGAATGTTGCATGTCAGGATGTATTAGCAAAGAATGGCATACATGTCAGGAAATCGTAAAGTATATAATATGCCGGGTGTAATGGAAGAGCACACAGCAAGGATGGCCGCTCTACTGGCAACACTGTGTCTTCTGACGCTAGCCTCCGCCGAACACTTCCATCACCACGTCCAACATCATCACGAGCACGTCAAAGCCATCACGGTGACCAAGAAGGTGCCTGTGCCGTACCCTGTCATCGTCGAGAAGAAAGTGCCTTACACCGTGGAGGTGCCAGTCGATAAACCGTACCCGGTCCACGTGCCCAAGCCGTACCCCGTCTATGTCGAGAAGAAAGTGCCGTACACAGTCAAGGAGTACGTCCCGCAGCCCTACACGGTCTACAAGAAGGAGCCGTACCCGGTCGAGGTGCCCGTCGACAAGCCGTATCCCGTCCACGTCCCTAAACCTTACCCCGTGGTCGTCGAGAAGAAAGTTCCTTACACGGTGGAGAAGCACGTGCCGTACCCTGTAAAAGTGGCTGTGGACAAACCATACCCCGTCCACGTGCCTGTCGTCAAGCATGTCCCGTACACTGTAGAGAAGAAGGTGCCTTACAAGGTAGAGGTGCCTGTGGAGAAGCCCGTACCTGTGTCTGTTCCCAAGCCTTATACGGTCGTTGTGGAGAAGAAGGTGCCTTATACAGTAGAGAAGCCGGTGCCTTACCCTGTCAAGGTGCCTGTATATCACCATCACCACGAGATCGGTCATGAGTATGGACATGAGTATGGACACGATTTTGACGAATTTCATAGTTTTTAAGTAATGCAAAACCATAAAAAAAAACTGTACAAACACCGTAATGAATCCGAATATAGTTATGTTTGTTAAGTAAATGCTAGCGTATATCATTCTTCCCTTTTCACCTGATTGTTTGTGTATTTAAATTTACATTTAATGGGAACCCTATCAAAGAGGTTTTTTCTTCTTTGCCAAGCCCAATGGGCTTAACAGAAACAGTGTGGCTCTTAATTGTCTGTGCCGATAGTTAAGATTACATCATATCTTGATCACATGTACCACATGGAAATTGATAGATTGATTCTATTTCATATTTACGAACGGTTAATTATATACTAGCACGCTTTCAAAATCAACTTTAAATATTAGACTATAATTGTGGATTTTATTTTAGAATTAAAGTAAAATCACTGTCTGAAATACCTTTTAAATTTGTGCCAGTCACATAGTGAAGATGATTCGAACTAATTAATAACAATTCAAATTAAAACAAACAATAACATTTTCTGTCCCGAATGACAGAGGCGAAACTCTTCCACAATCTGATCCACCCATGAATAACTTCGTCAGTTGGACCAGTGTAACGCCCCCGGGGCCTCTCAATAATCCAACACCCCGATGTTTGTAGCGAGAGACGAACGCTCGTGAATTATTTGGCGCGTGTTGTTCTAATTGGTCCCGCGCTTTTGCCCCGCTCCCATTGTACTTGTGTTTTTGTTTTTTGATCGCTCCACTTTATAATCCGCGATTAGACGTCCACGAGCGCGTGTTGTTGGTAGTTGATCAGCTGCTCCTCTACGTACTTGTAATGGAGTGTGTACAAGGGGATCTCTAGAAACTTGGTCATAGTTTGAGAAGTGAAATGCTGTGGGTACTTTGAACGAGAGGAATCGCATGTTTTATCTAACTTGTATTGTGGCTCTCGTTCACTAGAGTGGAACGCTTTTCAAGAGGAGCTAGAAGGTTGAAAGTTGACGGTTCGTTCCCGAGTTAGGCTAGAATCTTTTTGATGGTCCGAAACTGGATCTATCTTTCCTTGCATTTGGCTTTTATAATTTTACTAACAAACCCTATTTACTGATTAATAAACTATTTCTGTTTAAATTGTTTACGAGAATTAAACTTAGGAGACTAAATTTAGTTCATATTTTTTTAAGAGCTTAGCAAAATTACATATAGGTAAGTCGAACAACATTATCGAAGCTAAAAGTAATATTCAATGTACATTGTACATAAAGCGATGAACCCAACCAAAACTGTCTCTTTTTAGTGAACAATTTTCTCCAGAAAGATTCAATTATGTACAATCTACAATATGTATATGAAAACATCGCAGGGAATATCTACACACACTGTTAGAAAGATATTTGCCTATTGATGTGCAGAATCGCTTTATAAATTAAAATAATCTTAAAAATACAGTAAGCACACAAAATTTAAAATTTAAAAAAATTAACACGGGCCTTATGGGTTGCCATGTTGGTGACGAAATAACAACAAGATAAACAGAAAATCAAAACAAATTGAAGAAATTCCAATACATGTTTTATTTACAGCGTGGGGTGAAAATAGAGAAATTTGCACAATACATACCGTTGGTTAAGTTTTCGACCACGTGCCAGCTCTAGTTCAACTCTGCTATTACATCACTGTGCAATCAAAATAAGAACTGTTATGCTATGGTCAATGATATGGTGTTACGAGAGTTACTAACCGTTTCCTTATTCATCTGATTTAAAATTTGATGCAAAATATTAAGTTCCATCAAATGTTACTTCCATCTCGCCATTCTGTATATTTTGAACTTTATGAAAGTCTAGTTGCAAGTTCCTCGTACTGAATTCAAATGTTCTGCAACTATGCAACTGAACCGATATTGGGCTTGCTATTACATCGCTATGCATTTTGTATAGGAAACCCTCTATACAAAATCCCCCAATCACACCAATTCAAAAATTGTGTGTATTTTTTGTAGCTTGTGTGTTATGTGTTTATACGTGAACAATCTTAAAAAATAAAATCCCAAATATTCAGTTTAATTAATTTTTACATACATCCATGTGGTGATATGAACTTTTTGACTTTCGTTGTAATTGTAGGTTCCTCAGGGTAAGATGAACCCATTTTAAACAATTTTCTAGATTGCCGGAGATAGCTAAAGAGTTAAACGCTTCCTACCACTACCCTTGGGTGGTCGGTGGTTGAACAATTATTGTAAATGGCGGGGTGTGAAGAAAACACCCCTTGATTCTCCATACCGCACCCTCAGCTACCAACCTACGGAAGGACAGAACTCTAGATGTAGGAACAACAGTTTAGAAGCTATACAACTATCGAAAGCTGTAATAAAATTAACAACTTTTAACTAAACTACCTATAGATTTAAAATAGAACGATTGCTGACTTTGTTTGACGTTATTATTTCTGTTATAGAATAGAGAGTGTTTTATTGGATTTTTAGGATTAATCTGAAGGCGTTGAGTCGTAAAACCATGTAAAACCAAACTCAACATAGTAAAAAAAAAATTGTGGTTTCGGGGAAAACAAATATACGAGACAAATACAGCAATTTTTAACAAAAATACAAGAGGATTTTGGGATTGATTAAGGGTTAAAAATAAAATGTTAACATATGCAGGTAATATAAAAACATTATAGTCCTATTAGTAAAATTAATTGCCTATGATAAGTTTACTTCAAATAAAGTGGTGAAACTCTATTTTTCAAAGTTTGAAATTAATGTAGATAGAATGTTTTCTATATAATGATTACGATACCATTGATTAAAGATGTAAACCTTTTTTAAAATTTATATTGTAACTCCATAGTGTTTCAGAAGAGCCACATGAGAGAAACCCACACAATGTAAGAGAAAACGGTGTCGTACATAGAAATCAGTTAAGTAGAGTGTAAAAGTGAGTACTAGTAAATGATAAATCAACCAAAATTCGTCCACCAAACTTGAGTACCCCTCAACGAGGAAGGAGTTATGTCCAATGTCACCGGGTTCGTGACCGCTCGTTCTCACAGATAAAAAATGTCATACTTGAGGGGGGCTAATGCGTCTTTAATGAATGACTATGAAACAATTCATTTGTTGGTTTAACCCTATGCTGGGCGTGGCAGACCACACAGGCTCAAAACTACTTTTTAGTGATGTTTCCTGATATTCGGAGCCTACACTACTAATTTGAACAATTTCGTAATGCACTTAGACTGCGCTGCAGGGGAAGACCTAAAGACCGGTGCGTCGTTCCTTCTAAATCATCTTCCAAATGGATTCAGTTGGTTTACTCGAATAACCAGATAATTAAGGATTGTGTTTACAGGGAATTTGGGGTGAAATTAGTAAAGATTGCGGTGTAATAAATGTGCTAGGATTTCTAATATCTTTATTTCATCGAATTTTTGACGCGTTTGCTTACCTTAATTACACAACCTAGCATCCTGATTCACAAGGGAGATTTAACATGGTTTAGAAACCATTGCATTTTGAGTAGTTAATACACTACGTTTGGATGTCAACATTGCCATTTTCAACCACTAACTATCGATATTTTGATCAATATTTAAATCTATTGAACCTTTGATAGTGATACATTCACAAAACTTAATATTTAAATTAAAAAGTCCACCATTTTAATTTAACCTTTGCATTTTAGGGAGCTACGTTTAATTTTTCATGGTGATTTTTTACTATTATAATCTACAAGTCAGCTTTAAAATTCATCGAAAGGTCAATGGTGCTTATTTTACACTTAACACTAAGAGTTGCGAGATGAACTTTACAGAAGGTTTAAATCATTCTTTGATGATAAACGAATGCAACAACCTGTACAATACCCCTGTTAATGCCTAGTTTTGATGTATAATAGTACGAAAACTTAGTGCAGATTCTTGTGGTATTTTACACTCATTGAGTTTCTTGATTGTGTCTTGTTTTCTAATAACGTAGGCACAACTTGCCTTGGGGCTTTAGGGCTAAAGGTACTTATATTTTATGATTATCATATTCATGATGTTGAAAACCAATCAGTTTGGGCCAAAGAGCACAAGACGTGTGAAAAGTGACGACATCTAAGGGCAGTAAAGTCGATGACGGACGTGGCGCTGACTCAATTCCCATAAGTTACACGCGAATTTGAACCTTATTAGTCTGGTTTATTGTTTGACCTTGTCACCATGTAATGACAGCCATGTGACAATCAGCCAATGGCGTTCTCTCTCTCTACCTCGTGTGTCGTAATGGAAAATGATTATAACTGCAAGTATTAGTAGCCTATATTGGAGAAATATGGGTGTAGAATGGAGTAAATGCTACACCTTGTGTAGCTTTGTTGCTAAAAAAAACCAGGTTTTTTTCACCAAGACTACTTTTTAAAAACATGATGATCAAGGACAAGTGGGTCCAGAATCGAAAAAAATAAATAAGTTTCTGATTTTTACTAATACAATCCATTATATGAACCATACGTTTAAGTCTAGACGCTACATCCATCCGGTCGTGACGCATCATCCCTATACCGTTGTTACAATTACATATCATAATATAGTCTTTCACTCGTTGTAAATAAATGTACATTTTTATCGTATCTACGTCCGTGTTCGTGTACAAATGTATACTGCATTATGTGTATTGACGACCTTCTGATGACCTCGAAGATGACTTTGTAAAGTAGAAACTAGTTGCATCATAGCAACAATTTGGATTGCTAATAAAGGTATTTACACCAATTTTCACATAAGTTAAACATACTCCCTCAAACATCCTCACTATCTGAAAACTGTTCTAAGACACGTTTCTGAACGGTTTACGTAGAGTTCTATGTTCTGTTTACTATTTATTTTGTGGTATTTCACCAAATAAATGCCAAACTATTTTTACTTACTATAAATGCCCGGCTGCAAACCATTGATTTATCTTCTGGTTACATACGATTACCAAAGAGTAATGAACACACATTATTAACCCCCATGGTGGAAGGAAAATACATGATTTCCTTCCATCATAATTAACCCCAAAATAAATAACACAAGTCGACATTGCACTTAAATGTAGCTGGAAACGAAGTATATTTATTTGTTTTAGAATGGGGCTTATCATCGCATTATCAGATTGTTGAGCATTGCAGGGGCGAGACTTTATCACACGAATACAATCATTTGGTTATTGGCGGGATTAGAACCTGGAACCTACGGTTCCCGTGCTCTACTACTAGACCAGCTCACTCCCATAGTCTTAACAACTAGTTTTATGTTTACAGTATGATGTAGTCACCTCGCAGTATCGACACTCGAAACTAAAAAAAAAAAAAAAAAAAAAAAAAATAGGTTTTGGCGTGGAGTTGTTTGTCGTCAAGATTGCTTAAGACAATTCCACCAGAAAGTTTATAGTTTTACAACTGGCACAAATTACAGCCCTTCCCATATTTACGTGTATCCCTCTTTCACAAAGGATGGCCGTTGGAAGCTCTATCATAAGCAGTGGTTTCTCACTAATTTCGCCGTAATTATTGGTGTCAAGATACGACCAATCGGTGATCGATAGCCAGACGCGGTCCTTTTAGAGCTGGCAGCAACAATGGGTATTCAAGCAGCTTCAAGCCTATACCTATGCTAATGCTAATGTACCATATAGCTGATAGCCGAGACTTGCAGCTTGTAGGCCGAGTCTGGGAAATGGCGAGTAGTCTGGGTGATTTTAGCTTATGATCAGAAGGTTTTTAGAAGAGTTTAAATGTGAAAATGAATTATTGAAGAAAAAAACTTTGCTACCAAGGACAAGTTGTAGTTATTAGAAAGAAAAGGCAGAGCCTTCATATTATGATAAAATAACTTCAATTTAATTTCCATCAAAAAAGGTAATTGAAGTCACCGTAATGGAGTATAACTTTGTTTACTAAGAAGTTAAAATGACCTCATCAAAATTAAAAGATACCTGGAAAACATTACACTCAATATTGAGTTAGTAATGTCTCTATAGAAAAATTGAACTTCCTATGAAGAATTCAATTCAGGCAGTGATTTTCGAGTTAATAAGCTCGTTAAGAATAATTTTAGCCAGTTTTACTGAACCAAATACCGTAATTCAAAATGAATATGGATAAATGCAATTTTACTGGAATCCATAGAGAATTGGTTAGATAAATGTAAAATAATCATATTTATATAACTGTGTATTGATCAATAACCCCACGATATATGCTTATATGAATTTTGTTCAAAAGATGATATTACTTTTAGGGTAGCGGAATATCCTTCAAAATATGAGTACTCTACAATCCAGTAATAAAGAAGAAATGGAAAAAGAAGTAGGAAAATAATGATAACAAGAGCATAGTTACATTTAAGTTAAGAATAGTTTTGTGTAGTCGTTCGAAATCTTTTAACGTAATATATGATTATGAAAATTATTATTCGAGTAAATCATCATTGGTTCGAAAACAGTTTTGCAGCATTCACTTTTCGACACATAAAATTTATTAGTGAATTTTCAATATTTATACAAAGTCTTGAATACCAAACATTGGCAAAATCCATACTTATAAATTTAAAGCCTCAGACTTCCAATAACTATTTGAGATTAACACGAATTAAAAAACTCTAACAATGATAGCATTTATAAGCGGATGTAATACAGTTTCACCTTTGTCAATAGCTACATATCTGACTCCAGGAGATAAGGTTGTCACAGTAATGTCTGACTCGGTTCTATTTGGAAAAATTAGATCTTCTGAACCGGATATAACGTTTTTTGTCACTATATGATCCGGCGTGAAATGGAGGGCCCATGGTGGGTCTAATGATGCAATGACGACTGCCACTGCCATCTAGGGTTGTGTTTCAGAACAACTGTTTTGTAGGGAACGTAGGGCAGAAATATGGAAATTGGTTCTAAAACGATTGTTCATAAAAATAAGTTCACACCGTCTAAAAGTAATATTAGGCAAGACTTTTGTTTTATAACGATTTGAAGAAGGAAAAAAGGATTTAACCACATAGTATCGGTAACATAACAAGTGTTACTGTTTAGAGCATTCATTATTTATTACTAATAGTAGTCAACGGATTAACGGTGTATTTCATGTATAAGAAGAACATTTACTCTTACACAAACACTATACGGCGGAATATTATAACGAAGTAACGAACCGTAAATTAACACCATACATGCGTGGAATTAGGAAGCGTCTGCATTGCATTGACCAACATACACAGTTATGAGACTGAAGATGTATAAAACCCACCAGACTCTAGGTACCAGACACACTCGTCTGTAGACATCAGCGGAGATGAAGCGTCTTCTAGTCTTGTTGTTGGTGACTGCTGTCTTCGCTGAGGAGAAGAAGGTAGAAGAGAAGAAAGAAGAGAAGAAACATGGCAAGAGAGGAATAGAAGACTTCGGTGGACACGAGTTCAGTGGTGGAGACTTTGGAGGCCACGACTTCAGCAACCATCGCCACCACGAGGTGAAGACCATCACGATAGAGAAGGAGGTGAAGGTGCCGTACCCGGTCCACGTGGAGAAGAAGGTACCGTACCCTGTCAAGGTGCACGTCGAGAGACCGGTCCCATACCCTGTGGAGAAACCTTACCCGGTGACTGTGGAGAAGAAAGTGCCTTACCCTGTCAAGGAGTACATCTCTAAACCTTACCCCGTCGAGAAGAAGATTCCTTACCCCGTCAAGGTGCTAGTTGAAAAGCCAGTCCCCTACCCTGTGGAGAAGCCTTACCCCGTCTACGTAGAGAAGAAGGTGCCTTACCCTGTAGAGAAACACATCCCTTACCCTGTCAAGGTGCATGTCCCCCGGCCTGTCCCCTATCACGTTCCTGTTGTCAAACACGTCCCTTACCCCGTCGAGAAGAAAGTTCCTTATCCCGTCAAGGTGCCAGTTGAGAAGCCAGTCCCCTACCCTGTGGAGAAGCCTTACCCCATCTACGTAGAGAAGAAGGTTCCCTACCCGGTGGAGAAGGAGGTGCCGTATCCAGTCAAGGTTCCGGTTCACATCCCGGTCCATGTCCACAAGCATCATGAGCACGAGGGACATCACTTCGGAGGACATCACTTCGGAGGACATCACTTTGATGGTTTTCATCAAGAACATCAATATCATTTCTAGGATGGCCTTCATAGTCAAGGGCTTCAGTTACTCAACATAGAAACAAATGTGGTTTAATAATGTGTGTCATAATGTAATTAGTCTACTAAATGAAATACACGGAAATAAATAAGTCTAGGCTACAACGAATTCTGTTTTGCATCATATTTTTGTTTCATAGATTGTGTCATAATATCCTTAATTATGAGGTAAATAGCCATATAAGCTCCTTCTATTTAGTTGGCCGCAAACTATTAATACTATTATACAGTTATCTAATAGTGAGAATAGTCACTTTATTTCATTGTAAAAATGTTTTATATTGTGGTTTAAAAATATAAATTTAATCTTGTTAATTGTTGTTATGTGTTCCCAACAGTTTAAATCATATCCAAATATTTTTTTGAAAGCTTTCTGTCATGACTATACAAATCAGTCGGTGCAGTTCTATATAGCAGATATTGAGTAACTATATTTTGAATAACAAAGGGGCTACACTCAGGCCTTTCAAATTTTCATTTAGTCCTAATAATGTTACTTTAAACCAGCATTATACCGAACAGGTCAGAAAGATAGTTACAGTATTACCAGCTCAGTCCACCTATGTGTTTATTTTTAAGATTTCATTTTGTCCTTATCAAAAATAACTAAAAAATACATGGAATTCAAGATTAATACTTACAAGCACCTGAACAACCAAATAATTTACAATGGAAAAGTATATTGAAATTAGAAATATTTATACATTCCATATATTTATGATTTGATGTGTAATTTACGTATATCAATTTACAACGAGTTGTCTAATGTGCAATGCGGAGTATCAGTACTTGGTTTACTGATATTTTCTGTAAACATTATTTCCCATTTTAGGCTTTAAATGGCGAGTGGACCTACCTCACAAGTTTTTTTGTTTAGTATGATTATTCAAAAGCAAATCGATGGGTGAATAAAATGATTCCTAACATAAGAATATAGTTTAGATATTTTTTCAATTTTATAAGTACTATAATGTCTATACCATTTACATCTTCAAAAATAAGTCTCTTCCCGATTTTGTACAGACCAGCTAGCCTTGGACGTTTAGTTATTTTAAAACAAAAAATCTCCATAAGACATTATATTAAGATCTTATTTATACACTAAATTAATTGAAATAACCTCAAAAATATAACAGCCAACCTGTAAATTGGCTGATGGGCCCAGGTTGTTATGAGTCCAAGCTCACTTCCGATCCAAGGCCAATTCATAATATTTGAGCCAATTTAAAGATTTGGTAAACCCTCATAGACAAAGAAATTCGACAACATAAAAATAAAAATCTTCTTTGATTCATATTTTTAATATACTAAGTCTGTTAATATTCCAACCTAGACCTAGAAACTGATGTAATTAAATACCTTCGTCACACCATTAAGCAAGTTAAAGGTTGCTTCGTACAATTTTGTTTGAATAAGTTAATAGCTAGCGAACATGCACTTAGATCTACGACCAGTACACCCGAGACAGTGAGTACTTAGGATTGCTGCCACGATGGTTGGACTACAGTTTATAGTGGTTTAAATAAACTAGCTTAAACAGAAATGAAATTTATCATATTTAATATTTCATCATCGACGAACATCCAATGTAGCGCAGTCAATTTACCCATAATCCATAACAACCTTACATTAACAATTTGAAAGAAAGCTGTTTTGGAATTTTGGAAATTGTTATGTTTTAATTCGTACCAATAATTATAATTTTTAAGTTATACAGTTTTAAATTAGTCCCCCCTCCCTAAGTTTTTCTACATTTCTTAGGATATCAACTCCGGACCACGTCAGATCATTACAGAGTAGTAAGTACTTCATTTTGACTGGGTATACATTTTTGTCCGCCATATTGGATCCGCCATATTGCATACAAAGTGTTTTTTCTAATGTAAAGGTAGGGTTGTGACCAACCATTTCAAACTAAAATTTTACGCTGAGTACAATGCCACAATCTGTTTTTCAAAATATTGATCCGTTGAAAATTTATAATGAATTTTTGAAAGTTTATTTTTAATCAGTTCTTTTATACCCTAATGTTAAAATATGCCCCTAGTCTCAATTATTTTATAGGAAAAGCCCACTCAGCATTTTCGGGTAATATTTTTTTCTTTTTGACGACTTAGATATTTTCAGCCGCCATTTTGGATCTGCCATATTGGATACAAAATATTATTTTAGAAAATTCCTAATAGCTTTTTAACGGATTAAGATTTTGAAAAACAGATTGCAGCATCGTATTCAGCGTATAAAGCTAGTTTGAAACGATGGGTCACAACCCCACCTTTACATGTGAAAATATTTTTTGTATCCAATATGGCGGATCCAATATAGCGGTCAAAGATTTATACCCAGTCAAAATTAAGTACTTACTAGTTTTTAATGATCTGACCTGGTCCGGAGTTGATATCTTAAGAAATGTAGAAAAAAGTAGAGGAGGGGGAATCATTAAAAACTCACCCTGTATATTTTCTTTAAGTACCAATAGATCTACAATTATGTTATTTTCTGGAGTATTTGATCATTACTATTATTATTCTAAACATCAATTTAAATCCTGCTAAAAAGAAATTTACGTCTGACAATATTATCGTAAATATTAAAATGTACTTCATCTGTGTAACTGTTTCCACGGTCGCGTGTGTTTGTCAAACAAACCTTACGGACTTAGAAATATTATGTTAAAGGGACTAGAATGAATCCAGTCTGGTATTGATACACTCGAATCCCTTATGAAACCGTAATTCTTGAGTTAAAGTTGAAGTTTTAAGCTATGTATTCAATAGATAGGCCTTCTTGTTTATGGTACGTTCTCAGCTAAAAAAGCTATGAGATTGGCTCACTTTGCGCGACCCGCTGTAATTCGGTCAGATGTACCTTTAGTAGCCGATAAACTAAACTTATAACGCTTTTAAATACGAATTCTGAAATACAGCTTATAAATTTATATGATACAATTCTACCATTATAGGGTTTCTAGGGTTAAAATACGCACAGTGGCGTCCCCATCTTAAATAATTGATTGATTGATAGATTGATTGAATTGATTGATATTTTGAGAAAATGCAATATTAAATCACAATTTGAACAAATAAGGCACAATAGCAGTGAAGTTTAAACCCCAATATGTAAGATTAAATTTCGTCTATAATTTTAGTTTTGATTAGATAGACAAATCAGTTAGAAAGGATTGTCGCTCAAACACTTGCGACAGTAGGGGGTATAAATCATGATGTTACTAGAGTTTACTCTTTATCATACACATTTCATATCTAACATCTACTGGTTTATGATGTAACAAAGAGTGTATGTGAAATCTTGTATCAAAGGCATAGTGCTACAACAACTATTATTAGTGCCCAGTAAAAAAAAATCATTTCAACTACAGACTCAAGAAGAAAAAAGATGTTTGTATTGCCCCAGACAAAAATAGCTTGAAAATATTAGGACTAGCTGTCAAAATGAACTAAATAATCATTATTCATTTCATGTGTTATATTTATTGAGAAATAACTTTTCATTCTCATGTTAAAGTTGTCACCAGATAAAAAACAACTAGAACATAGTTTAATTGGCAAACCAAAAGAATGTGCTGGTGTTAATTATTGATATCTGTTGATTGACTTTAACCAATTATATAAGTTTTGCTTGGTGAAAATGTTGACGAGTGTCTTATTATAAGCTATACCATATTTAGTCTCACATCAACTAACACTAGGTCGAAATAGAATTTAATACTGCGTGGCTCATTCAAATATGTTTTTTTTATGAAAAAGGAAAATTGGCTACAATCTTATATAGAGGGGATGTCCATACTCTAGGAACCAAAATAAAAGGGTAGTATGCAAATAATGTATTCAAATAATAAAACACACACAATTTTATTATTACAAAACAAATAACAGTTCCTTGCAAAATTGTAATTTCATGCAGTATAAAATCAGATGAGCATTTACAGTTCATGACCAGACGAGTGAGAGCTTTCAAACCCATGTTCCTCATGCTCATGGTGTACTTCTTCCCCAAAGTGATGTTCCTCATGGTCATGATGCTCATGGACATGGATCGGGATGTGGACCGGAACCTTGACTGGATACGGCACCTCCTTCTCCACCGGGTAGGGAACCTTCTTCTCTACGTAGACGGGGTAAGGCTTCTCCACAGGGTAGGGGACTGGCTTCTCAACTGGCACCTTGACGGGGTAAGGAACTTTCTTCTCGACGGGGTAAGGCACGTGTTTGACAACAGGAACGTGATAGGGGACAGGCCGGGGGACATGCACCTTGACCGGGTAAGGGATGTGTTTCTCTACAGGGTATGGCACCTTCTTCTCTACGTAGACGGGGTAAGGCTTGGGAACATGCACGGGGTATGGCCTGTCAACTGGAACCTTCCCTGGATAATGGATGGTCTTCTCGACAGGGTAAGGTTTAGGGATGTACTCCTTGACAGGGTAAGGCACTTTCTTCTCCACAGTCACAGGGTAAGGTTTCTCCACAGGGTAGGGGACCGGCCTCTCGACGTGCACCTTGACAGGGTACGGTACCTTCTTCTCCACGTGGACCGGGTACGGCACCTTCACCTCCTTTCTCTATTGTGATGGTCTTCACCTCGTGGTGGTGATGGTTGCTGAAGTCATGGCCTCCAAAGTCTTGACCTCCAAAATCATGTCCACCATAATCGTGTTTTTCAAAATCATGCCCCCCAAAATCACCTTCAAAGTTGTGGTGTCCAACATCGTGACCACCAAAGTCGTCAATTCCTCTCTTCTTGTTCTTCTTGTCGTCAGCTTTCTTCTCCTCGCCAAAGACTGCAGCTACCAGAAGAAGGACTAGAAGGCACCTCATCATGTTGCTGAGGATGGTTTGTGTGCTGTCTGTTCAGTCCAGCGAGCTTATATACTCGGACATAGCCATCAGTTATGACATTCAGTGTTGTATAACGCATAGTTGTTCCCTGTGTGTCGCATATATCCACACGGGAGCGGGAGTAATTTATATAGTCTACATTAGCTTAACCATTTATGGCTATTAGTTTATTACTAGTTGTTAATATTTTAAAAATACGAATTGCCCATGCACAAATTGCACATTTTACGGGCCTCAAAACTCGTCTACAAACCAAACGGCAAATATATAATAACCTTATCAAAGAATACTTTAATGCTGAAAAAATTGCATGCCAAGAATAAATTATATATTAAATAATAGTATAAAAGTAATTTATGAAATGTTAAGACTTTATTAGTGCAATAAAACTACTAATTTACAATATTTAAAACACATTAATTTTATAATTGTACAGGGTGTGGCATATAAACCGGTCTATTTTCTTCAGCGCACTGTTCAGCTACAGGCCGTCTCAGGGTGGTTGGAGGAGGCTCGTTGGAAAGCCTATACAATACAATTTTTTTTGTAGTCATAGAGCAGTGGTTTTATGAGATACGTGTTATAACTATCTATAAAAGTAATTTATTACAATTCATTTTAATTAGCTGGTTCCAACTTCAACTGGTTAAATGTGTTTTTTCCAGATACATATTAATCTTTTCCTGATAATCAATATTGAATAACACTAAAATACCACTTAAAGCAGATTTCTCGTAACATTTAAAATACAGTCGAAGATTATATTTAGACTAGCTCCTACTAATTATAGATAACTGATTATTGTTTTAAACCTATATAAAAAATATATTGAGATTGTAAAATATTTCGTCTGTTGTTAAACGTCTTATCATTTTAAAATCAATGTTAAGTTCAAGCTGTTAATTTAAGCTAAGTCATTCATGTTTAATAAATAAGTAATCAGTAATTCTATAACAATTTGCTGAAACAAACATAGTAAAAGCATATGCTGCAATTACCACTTAACCCTGATACGGTTTCGTATCTTTGAAGGGTCGACGATTTACTCTACTTTTGTTCTTCAGGTCCACCCTCCCAGGACCGACCCCTGACCTTCCCGCGCGTGGGGGCGTGTGCCCCGCCGGAAGGAAGCCAAGGGTCGAGCGAGTAGCTCCAGTTTCACCCTACTTCCGTCACCGCATCAGGTGTAAGTCCTGTGGTGGGAGTTAATTTACTATTAAGAAGTTAACTGCGCAGTTTAGGAACTTGCTAATAATTAGACGTAGTTAAACATTAAACATTGAGTTAACGAATCAATGAATCTGTGATCTCAGGTAGCAGGAAATTGTGCCCGGACCAATCAGTTGGTCCAATTTTCGGTAGTCTTTGGTTTAGTAATAAGATATATGTCATTGTCAGTAGAGGAAGAGGGATTTTCTGGAGTAGGCTTCATGACCATTAGCCTATACGAAAATTAAGTGGCGGGGCAAAGACGAACACATAGAAGCGAGTTTCACACTTTCAGGATTGAGTACGGGAAGAAATTAAGCAAGAGAAAAAATTCTTTAGGTAAAATGTAAATGAATAAATAAAACGAATAACAATAATTTGTTTTTCAGGTGTTTCTCAGTAAATACCACGAATACTAGAAAAATACCGGCATGGATCATAAACATAAACAAATGACGTTGTTGGCCCGAATCCTATACTAATAGCATTGAACATATGTTTTGGCAGTTCCATTTAAGCAATGTTAAATAATGTTTTTTCGGGCCAAAAACTTTATTTGTTTATGTTTATGATCCATACCGATATTTTTCTAGTATTCGTGGTAAATAATGGTTTCAACAATAATTAAATAACAAACAAATTAATTGGCTATCAAAATACAAGAAATTAAGAAACAAAACAATCTAAAAAAGAAGTTAATATTAGTCAGAGTATATTTCTTTGATTTTTACCCTATAAGATGGTAAGGCATATTTTTGAGGCCATAGTAGGGGTAGTCAAATGCAGCTTTGGACCGAGTACGAGAAGCTTCTCCTTCCCAACTCAAGTCTAATTGTAAGATGGTGAAGAAGGAGACTTCCATGACGGGTTCGGCGCTGAGAAACCTCCTCCCGGAGGAAAAGCCTCTCAAGACGGTTATTTATGTACGATACTTTTTATCAAGATGTAAAAGCTTAGTAACGTATATTTCTCTTTATATTTAAAAGGTTAAACAAAAATATATGATTTACATTCTAAATATGCTTCCAAATGAAAGAATACACACAAATTTTAATAGAGAATGTAAAACTGTGATCAAGGGAAAAATAAGTAATTTATCCCTGTAACAAAGATTATAAGAAATGATCATTTACTTGCCATAACTATAGCCATCACTGTTGTGCTGTTGTGTTCTAAAATAGTTAGTTGCATAAAGAGCGATTCTCGTAGATGAAATTCGAGCAAACTATCAATACATTCAATTTGCACTGCAATTGAAAAGTTGTATTTTGAAACCAGTGCATCATTGGTGAGAAGGGTATAACGGTACCTAAATGTTGAACTATAGAGCTGCCACAGTACTTGAGGAAAATGAAATGAGCGAGTAGGCAATTTTCCATGCAGAAAGGGGATAAATCAGTTTTCAATCTTGGTAAATGTTTACATAAGTCTGTATGATGTAACCTGTCTCTTGCCCCTTCTTCTACCTGAAGACTGGCCAATGGTTTAAGGCCCGAGCCGGTCCCAGGTAGACATAGGCCCAGGAGACAGGTTCCATCATACAGACTATAGAAGGTGGATTGTTACGGTTAAAGAAGACTTGCTCTTGATCACAACGTTAAATTATCAACCATTGAAATTGTTCACCTTGATTGTTGCGTTAAACTAATGAAAAAACTAGTCGACGTTTTGACGTGTTGCATAAATCCATCTTGAGTATAAGCTACAATCAAAATAGTAGTTGGTACTTTCAAAAGTATAACGAAGCGGTTGCCTCCCGAAGAACAAGATTCTTCAATCTTTGCAACGTAAATTCACAGATTGAACTATAAACTCCATAGTTAATGTATTTTAAACAAATTTATCGGAAAAAAGGTTAGAGGGGTACGAGTCATAATACTCTTTGTCGGGTAATGAATGAGAGAAATGTTTACCCAAAAGTTTGCTCTCCTCGAGTATTAAGTAGTGAGTAGTTAGTCTAATCCTCAGAAAGGGGATTATACCTGAAGATCCCCAAGGACGTAATCACAAGGAAGTGTCCCTATACTTACTCGCCATAGCCGTGACGCTCGTAACGCGTAATGCTACATAACACGTGACGCTGCACCTCCCACTAACTGCAGACATTAGACTTGCAGGCTAATCGTCCAATACCAATTTCCTTTACTAAATAATGTGTTTAAGAGATATTTGGCAAGGGTTGGTCCAAGGCACCATATGCAGTTATTAAGTGGTTCCGGACGAGCGGGCCGCACGCCGACCAACTGTCCGCAAGGTGCACCCCCCTCCCTGCTGGCGCGTGCAGCGCGGGCGCGCTCCCCATCAAATTACAAGGGGAGGGGACAATTTTCACCTTTTGTTTAGCTTCTTTAACGCTCCGCTTTCTCTGAGTTTCTAGGTTAATATGCGTGTTCAATGATTGAGCAGTTTGTAATGTGTTTTAAGGCTTAACTGACTTAAATAATGTTTTAGTAATAGTTAGGGGCTAAATAAATAATATGGACATTATTTCAGTTAGAAAATGGACTCTAGTAGGTATATTGAAGTGTGAGACAGCAGTAGTAGGGAAATTCTTTGACGATTCCTCATACTAAAAAAACGTACTACGTTCAGGAGTATGTCAAAGGTCTGGTATAAACAAATGTTTACGTTCCTGGTAAATTTTTATCTCACTGTAGTTTTATTTAAGTCAATCAACCCAACCTCATAAGATCTCTTGAAGTTCATTCTCTAGAGGAGAATCCATTATTGTCCAGCTCCTTGGATATGCATACTACTGTATTTATTTATGCATTCGTTTTACCTTTGACAGATTAGCTCTTCCTCCAATAATTTTACTTCTGAAAATAAATTTTAAACACCACAATTTCTGGTAATTATGACCTTTGTAAAACTCCCATTTATTTGGTCCACAACAAGTAACTATCTTATTGTGAAATCCCCAAGATGGTCACTTCCACCGATGATCCCACGTCCTCACTTTCTGATATCTTTTTATGTCCTTTTTGTGACTCTTGATTTGATTTACTTGGAATTTATCCTGCTCCTACTTGCATATCTAACTTACACTTGTCTGGAAATAAGGTCAAGCTACACCGCAACTTTGGAACAGATTATTACGTATCTGTTGTACCATTAAACATCCCACTAGAACTGATGGAGAGAATACTAAGTTTTTTACTAGAACATCCGTGTATGAACTGGTTTTATTGATTTTAATATTAAGTATAATGTTTAAACTACTTCATAATAAATTGCATATTGATTGAGCTCCCAATTAAAATTTAAAATAAGAGTTCATTTATTTGGCCCAAAAATATGGTTTTTGGCCTTGATATTAGTAGTTAGAGAGGTCTGTTACATTTATTGAGTATTTCATTATTACTGTACGTATCTTGACTGTCATCATGAGTCGTATTAGCCCCACATGTAGAATTGTAGTTTAAAATCTTTAACTTATGCGTACTCTAAAACTATTCTATGTACTGAAGACAAACAAACTATGGCGTTATTAGAAGCTTTTCTATGTCCGTGTCAGTTCAAACCAGGCGTGAACACCTATTTTAAAATGTTCCTCTGCAATATGTCAACTAGTCAAACATATATCTTTTGAATTTGACCAACCATTGCTTATGGAACAATCTCAAGACTCAAAACAAGATAATTTTTGGTTTTATTTTTTCTTTAGGATTAATTCATTTCCTCGCAAGAAGATTAGGAGACATATTATCGTCATTTCATTTTTAACCCAAATGACAAGTGTTGGAGCTCCATTGTCCACCGTCAAAACACAAGTAATGTACTTTATACCAATACATTT